ATCCATGCTGCATCACGAAAAGCTTCAGGAGTGGTGTCGGGGAGGACAATCGGGATATGCAGGGCCGCATGTAATTAGAAAGCACCCCCACCTGCCCCTTTGCGTTTCGAGTCAGCTCGGAAGCTTTAGTATCCGTCTATCGAGATCTCCGTGTCAGAGACATGATTCAGGGGGTGAGATGGTTCAGGGGGCGAGATGGTTCAAGTGGTTAGAGCGCGAATTCACTGACCGGAAGGTCCGTTGTTCGAACCCGACCTCTGCCTCTCGACTTCCCCTGTCTAGGCTTGGGCAACCTGGCAGTATCCCAGCCCTTGTGCTTCCTTCAGGTGGCGTGGCAGCTAGGCACCGGAAGGGTGCTGCAGCTGAATGATTACTTACTTTGATGATTACATTATCTCTGCTATGTTCGAGGGTTGAAAGCTGAGAGGCGTGCTACCAGAGAGGTTAGCAGATTTAATAGCTGAACACCGGGTTTGAGTTGAAGGCTTCGAAGGAGCCTCTGTGGCATACCAAGGAAAGATCGGGAGCTCTGGTTGATACTGAAAGCTCGGGAAATGGAGAACTTCTTTGCTACGGGAAGCGGCTGTGCCCTATATCAAGTGATACGATAGACTGCCCTTACGAAGCAACGGCCAGCGAAACGATTAGTGAAAAAGATCGCTCATTAATTCACTTACAAAAACGTCGACTGGAAAGATGGGCCGAACACTTCGAAGAGCAGTTCAGCTGACCTCCAGCAACACAGCCTGTGGAGATAATGCATACGGGCGAATGTAATGTAGAAATGTAATGTAGAAATAAGGTACGAAATAGCCCTACCGAAACGTGAGAAGGCACCAGGACCAGACGGTCTGTATCCAGCTCTCTCCAGCGAAGGCGGGAAAGTCCCTGGTAACCCATCTGACAAATCTTATTCGTACCGTGTGGGACGAAGAGAAGGTGCCTGCAGAATGGAGCATATCGGTAGTTTTCCCTATCTTCACAATGGGTACACGGACGTTGTGTGAAAACTACCGTGGTATCAGCCTGTTAGCTGTGGCATCGAAGGTGCTCTCTGGTTCTATCCTTCGAGCGTTGACAGAACACAGGGAAAGGCAGATCCATGAAAACCAGGCTGGGGTCCGTCCTGCAAGAGGTTGCATCGATTATATTTCCACCCTCGATGCCTTCGGAGCTGGTGAGAACACCGAATATGCAATGCTGAAGTACGTCGAATGGTATTCGGGAGAAATAACTCATCTTCAATTATTGAACTGATCACACTGCATAGGTCGCGCTGGCTTGGCTACGTGCTGCGTATGCCAGTTGACCGACTTCCTCGAAGGGTTCTTTACGCACAACCACGTGAAAGGTGGAAGAGAGCCAGAGGCGGTCAAAGAATAACTTGGCAGCGAAGTATGAAAGCCATTACCAGCAAACTCAGCTGCGCTGGTCATTGCCGTCTTCCTGGATGGGGACCCCGAGATGGGCCGCATCAATGGTTAGAGGCATTGTCAGACATGACCTAGTCGCGCCCTCAATGGCGCTTATGCATCGAAGCTATTGCCTTCAATCCACACCTCCCTTCCCAATTTCCCCACCTAACAGTCCATTGACAGTGCTGTATTTACACACTTATTTATCAGATCCTGCCTCCACTGCAGAGCTACCCATTCCACCTCCCCAAATCATCGGTAAACGAAACTGTGGCAGCTACAACCACTGTACGGCAAGTACGCGGCTAATACAGCTGACGGTGGTGGTGACAATGATGGGTTTTCTTCCCCGGAGAGTTCGGTTCGCCTGGGGATTTCGCCCCTCGAGAATGTGGTTTTTCCTTTCGTGGTTGACAATTCCGATGGACGTCTGGATTTTTTGTTGTTAAAGGATTTGCGATGAACATGCGCCCATTTGGTTGTTTGGAAATTTTGGCGAGGTTTGACCGGTAACTTTCTTCTGTGAAGCCCTGTCAGGTCGCTTGTGCGTTTGATGTCACCACCAAGGGGTATTCCCAAGTACCTCACCTTTGCAAAGGGCTGCGGCTTGAATCTAGCCAACAGCTTTTCGATGGCTGTTCAACCGCAGTCACTTTCCTTTTGTGTTTATGTGGTCTCCCAGGTTGTCCGCGATCAACGTGTCCGGCTCGGTGTATGTACGAATCTTCAGCATTCTACTATGGAGTTTGTGGCTCTGGCTATCTGGGTCATGAGTGACGACTGTGTCCACAATCAGAGGCTGCTTTTGGCAGAGTAGACCTGAGGGCTGGCCTTTACCATGGTTGTAGGGTTCTCTCAGCTGTTCCCGACGTCGAGGTCAACGCTTGTGGTTGGTCTGTCAGTAGACTTCGCCGCTTGTCTCTGCACAGTTGACCCGATCTAGCTGATAACTTGTGAATCGGGTGTTGAGTTTGCCACTGAGCCCTTGTCGTCCGGTACGGAAACGAGCGATAACAATTCTACATATGTTGGACGCTGAGTCCAGAGGTCCTAGTCCAGGGAGGCGGAAGTTGTCATTTCAACTCACTTTTCTGGTTGGCGCTTTCAATTTCCTTGCTAGGACATAGGCTGTTCACCTCTCGGTCGCTTCCACTTGGCATAGGGCTGAGAGGGAAGACCTGTGCGAGCAGATGGCTCTCTGGCGTGCGAGGTACTTGTGCTAAGCAGCGTAACCTTCGATGCATTCGTAGCGGATCCATTATGAGGGAGTTCCCCTTCTTAAAACCATTTAGTGTACCTCAGAATTGCTAATCTCATGTTCCCACCAGACTTGGCCAGTGTTTCGGAGGTATTGACAGTCAATCGCCGATAATTTCCACACAAACTTTGTTTATAGTGGCTAAGTGGGGGCGAGACGGCCCAAGTGGTTAGAGCGCGAATTTACTGACCGGAAGGTCCGTTGTTCGAATCCGACCTCCGCCTCTCGACTTCCCCTGTCTAGGCTTGGGCAACCTGGCAGTATCCCTTCGGGTGGCATGGCAGCTAGGCACCGGAAGAGTGCTACAGCTGAACGGTAGTATAGTGGCCAAGTTTCTAATCTGCAAAGTAATGTGGATTGCACAGCTCTTGCTGTAGGCGTCAGAGATTGGCGAAGTTTTCGAAAAGTTGTCCCGTCTCCAAGTGGTCCACCGGAACTCATACAGTTGCTTATGCGGGTAAGATTCTCTGCTACATCGATTAGCTGGTTCACACTGAAGCCGTATGCGTTTGATCTCATCATCATGGACAGCGTGACATCAGTGTTCAACACTGGTGCTACGCTGCCGTACAAGCGTGATTTACTTGAAAGCCTTTTTGTGAAGAAAAAATAAAGGTGAGCGGGTAAAGGACTTAGTGACAGCATACTACAGTCATTCTGGGGTACATACACTTCTAGACACTCATTCAGGTAATCTCGATAGAAACTGACAACGAACGCCATTGGCATCGATTAGCAACCGTATGTTGCAGCGCGTCCCCATCGTGGTAGGCGAGCATCCAAGGGGTTCGTAATCTCTTTCATATCCCTCTGCCAGGTCAAAGGTTGGCCAGCTCTCTGATTCCGCCACTCTGCATTGAACACGGAAAACAGCACTCCGTTCGGTAAACGATGGTTCGGCGTACGCAGTACATTGCCTAACCAACGCAGCTTCCAGTGTTGGATACATTCTTTAATGGGAGTTCCTGCTGCACAACCGAGAACTTGCTATATAATTGACTCCTTATGGGTGCGCTGGCATCAACCAACTCGAGCTACAGTTCTGAGACAACGTTTTTCTAAGTCCTGAAGACGTCTCATTGCTGCTGCTTAAACAGGTGAAGTCTTACAGTCATACAGCAAAGCAGCCCGCACTGTAGCCTAATACACACGTCCCTTGACATTCAGGGACGCTACCTGGGTCTTGCAGATTCATGCGTGAACTTTGTCTGTCGCATTGCAATCAGAACAAATACACTCGATAACTTCGAGTATCTCCCCCTTGAATTGTAAGTGGTGGGCTCAGTGACTGCATGTCCACGACCGTGACGTTACATTTTGTGGATACAAAAACATACTAAAGGACTTTAGTCAGTTCATCCGCATACGCCTTCTTTTCTTCGAAGACGAGAACGATGTCGTCTACGTGTTCCAGATTCCTTCCGATTCTTAGCTGCGATGCCACCCGAAGGTAGCGCGAGAGCTGAGGTATTGCCAGGTTGCCCAAGCCTAGACAGGGGAAGTCGAGAGGCACAGGTCGGCTACGAATCACGGACCTTCCGGTCAGTAAATTCGCGCTCCGGGCACTTGAGCCATCTCACCCTGCGTTGATCTCACCCGCTCTTTTAGCAGAATCTACTCTTTGGGTGGGATGCACACACCAGGCCGTGCGGTAGAAACAACTAGTTTATTTACTGAGTTACCTCTTCAGGTATTGTCACTGCTTACTCAGTGCTTTCAGTTGCACTTTCCGGGAGCATTTCGATCCTTGAGGTTCCAGAGGCAGAATAACACATGCGAAAGTTTTTGGGAAAATAACCTTGTCTTTTATCGTTGGGCTTGCCGCACGTAGCTACAGCAGTTCCTATACGATGCCCTCCTAAGGGTTAAATATTTGGATCGGACATAACCTCTGACGCTCTGTAGAGAAAAAAGTGACCTTCATAGCATCCACGCTGCCGTACAAGCGTGATTTACTTGAAAGCCTTTTTGTGAAGAAAAAATAAAGGTGAGCGGGTAAAGGACTTAGTGACAGCATACTACAGTCATTCTGGGGTACATACACTTCTAGACACTCATTCAGGTAATCTCGATAGAAACTGACAACGAACGCCATTGGCATCGATTAGCAACCGTATGTTGCAGCGCGTCCCCATCGTGGTAGGCGAGCATCCAAGGGGTTCGTAATCTCTTTCATATCCCTCTGCCAGGTCAAAGGTTGGCCAGCTCTCTGATTCCGCCACTCTGCATTGAACACGGAAAACAGCACTCCGTTCGGTAAACGATGGTTCGGCGTACGCAGTACATTGCCTAACCAACGCAGCTTCCAGTGTTGGATACATTCTTTAATGGGAGTTCCTGCTGCACAACCGAGAACTTGCTATATAATTGACTCCTTATGGGTGCGCTGGCATCAACCAACTCGAGCTACAGTTCTGAGACAACGTTTTTCTAAGTCCTGAAGACGTCTCATTGCTGCTGCTTAAACAGGTGAAGTCTTACAGTCATACAGCAAAGCAGCCCGCACTGTAGCCTAATACACACGTCCCTTGACATTCAGGGACGCTACCTGGGTCTTGCAGATTCATGCGTGAACTTTGTCTGTCGCATTGCAATCAGAACAAATACACTCGATAACTTCGAGTATCTCCCCCTTGAATTGTAAGTGGTGGGCTCAGTGACTGCATGTCCACGACCGTGACGTTACATTTTGTGGATACAAAAACATACTAAAGGACTTTAGTCAGTTCATCCGCATACGCCTTCTTTTCTTCGAAGACGAGAACGATGTCGTCTACGTGTTCCAGATTCCTTCCGATTCTTAGCTGCGATGCCACCCGAAGGTAGCGCGAGAGCTGAGGTATTGCCAGGTTGCCCAAGCCTAGACAGGGGAAGTCGAGAGGCACAGGTCGGCTACGAATCACGGACCTTCCGGTCAGTAAATTCGCGCTCCGGGCACTTGAGCCATCTCACCCTGCGTTGATCTCACCCGCTCTTTTAGCAGAATCTACTCTTTGGGTGGGATGCACACACCAGGCCGTGCGGTAGAAACAACTAGTTTATTTACTGAGTTACCTCTTCAGGTATTGTCACTGCTTACTCAGTGCTTTCAGTTGCACTTTCCGGGAGCATTTCGATCCTTGAGGTTCCAGAGGCAGAATAACACATGCGAAAGTTTTTGGGAAAATAACCTTGTCTTTTATCGTTGGGCTTGCCGCACGTAGCTACAGCAGTTCCTATACGATGCCCTCCTAAGGGTTAAATATTTGGATCGGACATAACCTCTGACGCTCTGTAGAGAAAAAAGTGACCTTCATAGCATCCTCGTGATGGTGTGGCAGTAAAGCACCACTATTCACTACTGTGAATTACTGTCAATTGTGATGTGATGGTGTTTGTGAGTCATGCGCTTCTGACTTCTGTTTCAAGGGCATGCGTGAGTTTCTTTAGTGGTTCCCGGGCCTATTAGACAACCACAACACTATAATAATTTGGGAAATACTAAAGAGAACAGACTTTCAGACACTGAGACAAGATTAGTTGTAGTTTCCCCGTACTCCGTTTCTAATTTACGTCTTCGAGTTTTCTGTTTACGGTAGAAGCATTTTGGGGGTCTAACAAACTACTCTTCTTTGTTCCAGCATTCTGAGCTGGTGTTTCACAGCCTCCAGGAGTGCCCCTGTTTCTTTCTAAAGTGAGAATGAGGTATGTTTTATCCACGGGTCTTTTAGTTTGTGTGTCTATGCGGTGATCATTTTATGAAGCTACTATCTCCACCCCGGACATGACCTCTCGCTTCTTCGATGAGTTTGCTCTTCTGAGGTGTCCACTTTCCTCTCTTTGCACCAGCATTTTTCCGGATGACTATTGCCATTTTTCCCATTCTTACTTTCGTTATTGCTACTGAGATCAGAAAAACTATTCTATTTCCAATTAATGCTGTTATACTTGGGGTCGCTTTAGAGCGTTATAATAACCATCGTCGTTGGGAGCAGTACACCTGTACTACATACTGAGGCTTGACTATCATACAGCCACGAGGAAAGTAGGTCTTATGAAAGACTAAGAAGAAAAGGGAGGTAATCCAGAAAACACTTATGTCCATAAGGAAGGGCTCAAGAATAAGTTGCCTGAGCTCAAAAATTATCAGACACTGCACTGGGAGTTGATGACCTCATGGAATTAGTAAGGGTCTAATCCTATTGGTTCGACTGATACACCTGTATCAGACACACACCAAAAGGAGTAGCTGTGTGCGAATGCCGAATAACGCGTATCTCTTCTGTACAATTAGGCGCGTTTTGGGTTCAATTCAGAATATTTTAATGGGATAATTAGGCGTACCGGACTCAGATTGTGAGTGTTGCCAAGACTCTCTTGCCGACAGTCTACTCTAAGAAAAACTTGATCGTCCTAGTAACGGGTGCTTTCACATTGGGTGGGGCTAGACCGTCGGCTCTCTGTAGGCACCCTAGCTCCCAGAACAATGTTCGTGTCGGCTCTTCATATTCACTTTCTTCCAGGCCATTGGTCTTCAGCTAATGAATCATGGGAGTTACCACTGTATTACATCTCGATGGGCTACACCGAGCCTAAGTTCAACAAATCCCAAGATACCGATGTTCCGAAGTGACACCTACAAATCGGATCAATGTAGTCCACTGCTTTTCCTGATGTTTTGCTGGCTGCTGCTCTCGTCGGCGTGGTTTTCTTTATCTTGTCTGATCCGTTCCTCAATGAGGAACCTGGTCTCAAAGCGGAACTCAAATCTGTTTGAATTTTGGTGACGCACCTTTTAAATGGAGCAAAAACCACCCGTCGCGAGCGTAACTTCCGTCGAGAATTAGGACAATCGCTCCGTGGATTCACTTGTGCATTACTGGGTCTTGTTCTGTACCATTTCAGCAGGTGTCACCAAACAGACATTCCCTTCATCTTTTGGACCCCATCTAGATAGGAGGGAAGTGTCATTGAAAGCCATTCGAATGTTAAGCGTCTTTGGACGTCAGCTCTATGAAATCGTTTCGGCTTCAGATGGTATTCTGCAGTCAGGACATGAACACCATGTGGAAAAGGACGATAATTTGGCGTCCAGGAAATGCGCTCCATTACCTAAGCTTGTTGAGAATTACGAGATGAGGTGAAGTGTACAAGAACAAGTGCAAGCTGTGTGATATTCACAGGTTCTCATACCTAGTTGGTGAATGAGTAGAAGTTCGACTAACGTAGTCTCCTGGTCCTCCAGGTTGGCCGTTAGAACATGTGTGGTGACTTGTTCCTTAAAAATGTAAGTGGCATTGATGGTCTCACGCCAACCACTGCTGCCTTGCGGTTAAGCTTTAGAGCAGAAGACCTTGATCAAGAACTCGAATCATCTTCGTATCTAGGTCCGAGAGCCATGGCGTTAGCCCAGCCCACGTGCGACCACGAATCCCACATAAAGATTATCGTCTCCAACATTGACCATCGAGTAGTGGCATCAGCCGGGTTGCCTTAATTGCTGCATACAGTAGGGTAGGTAGGCGGGAACAGACTATTGAACATGCCTTTTTCCTCTCACATATCCACTTTTCCCTCCCTCACCTCGTTTCTGTGGTTCTGATCCAGTGAAGGGTTTTTGTGGTCGGTCCTCCTGTGAAACCTCTGTTCCAGGAGAGGTGGTGAGGCCCAGTCCGTCGCCCAAAATTCCTAATGATTAACGCTTTCGTTTGACAAACCCGCCTTTCCACTTTACGGCCGCATTAGTCCCACGGTCACTGTCATCCGTTACGATGGTAAATATCCTCCTGGGTTGGGCAGCTTGGGAGTGAGTTGATGTTCTAGTGTCTGCTTCTCCATACGTTCGAAAGCTTCGTGTCCCTTACCGGTCCACTCAAACTTCGTTTTGATGGGGTTCAAATTATTAATGAACCGGACACAGTATCCTGTGTGGCTTGAAAATTGCCATGAGGACCGCTTCGAATTCGGGAATGAATAGTTCTCAATCCTCATCAGTTTCTCTGGCGGTGACTGGACTTCTCCTTGGTCAACTTCACAATTGGGTATTGTCACTGAATTTTGAACGAGCTGTTTTGGATCCATCGATTCGCATATGACGACTTCTAAACCCACAGTACGTCTCGGCTCCATGTATACAACGCTCTCATCTTTGTGCACGATAACTATTTGCAGCCCTCTCTTTGAACTCGGCGTCAGGCACCGAAAAATGAATGGCACCGCTGGCAGGCGAGACGTCATTCTCTTGAATTAATTTCAAATCCTCTCAACCATAGATACCGTTTATTCGCCATCCTCTCACTTGATGGTCAACTACTAGAAACCCAAACGCAAATCAAACATTGAAAGTTTGGGCTACTGGAGCGAAAAGAAATCTTTGCGAATTACGGGACGTATGGATTTCGGATCCGTCCATTTGAACGGCGGAAATCAACGCAAAATCGAAAACTTCCATTCGCGTTCCTATCCAGGATCACTGGGGAATTAGATATACTTAGTTTCTTCGAATGTTCCATTTTCCTGCACGTTTCGCACCTTCTCGACAACTTGTCCTGTAGATTTGGCTGTATCTGATGCGGTTCATAAAACGTGGGGATTTCTGCCCATTCCATGGACAAAAACCAAAAGGGTCCTCGTCATCCGTGAATAGTTCCTCGATGACATTCTGTTCTCACGAATCAATGCAGATCGGAAGGCTGATGACATTTCGTTCTCGGTTGTGCTGAACTAACCTTCGAGTTCGGCCGTATCATATTTGTTATCAGCCGCCTTGCCTCACGCCTACAACCGATTCTGCGTTTTTGAGAAAATCTGCCTCCAAAGGTGTTTGTTTTGTGTATCGGTTGACAACAGACTCATGCTATACAGTTCGTTCACCTGTTCGCATTGCACGCAACAAAGACCCGTCAGCCTTCAGCTGCAACCAAACCACTACCACTGCTCACGGTTTGCTTATAGCTTGTATTCCTTCTCTCTCTCAGTAAGAACCCTGTCTCGGCACAACCTTCTTATCAGCTTCAATTACTGCCTGCGTTGTAGCGTGCGTTATTGTATTGATTGCAACCCAGTTTCAGCCCGGTTAATCGCACCTACGTTGTCTAACATGCTAAATGAACCAGATCCCACACGCCCGACGACCAGACGCTTTCATGAGTAGCAACTGATGAACTACTTCGATTGTAACTGTTGACGCCTTACCCTACACAAGTTCGGCAAACTGGGGTCTAGCTGCCCCTGCAATTTAGCCTTACAGACCGTTGGGTCGCGACCCACTTCCAACCTGATTATCTTGAACCGCTTCATAGCCCCCGACGGCCCGGTGGTTTGCTTAACTCTAACGAGGAATTTCTTCGTGACGCAATCCATCTCCTTGAGGTTCCTTCTAACCCCACACGGCCGTCTTCATCGGCCTCCTGAGGAAAGTCTCCACAGCTGCACCAGTCAGAATCCAGGTTGCCTGCCCTTCTACATACTCAGAGTCCTGGAAAGCCCGAACGTTTCCGTTCTCAAAAGGCCGCGATCGCACGAATAACTCATTCCGACACGGAAGTATCTATCGTAGAGAACATGGTGTTTATAAGCAACCAAGTGCGAAGGTGAAATGCTCCTTTGGATAGAGTGAGGAGCTCGGCGTACCTAGTTTTTTTCGGAATGTTCCTGGGTGTGGTTTGAACATTTAACTTGAATGAAAGAACATACTGGAATAGAACAATAAATGTCGGTCCCGGTTAATTGTGGAAGTGTTGCTTGGAACTGCAAACAGATGACACTAAGGTTTCACCGGTAATGCACGACTTTACGCCCATAGTACCCGCTTCCGCCTGCGTTTCGAGTCTAATAGTCAAAGATGAGCAGCGGGAACCCTGGTACCAATGTTACACGAACCGGTTTACGAGCTTTAGAGGGTACACAGGCCAAGTCATACAATGCTTTGGTAAACAACTGGTAAACAACAACCGTTGAGATCTGGTCTCACTCCCTACAGTGAAAATTAAGTCAAGCTGGAGGAGTTCTGTGACAGTGAACGGCGATTTCGTGCATTTCGCCACGTTCTGTTTTGGCCGAACCGTGCTAGTTGCTGACAATTTCCGTATGGTATTATGAATGATAGCATTGCGCCAACGGCATTATCCCCTGATATATGGATTCCGGTCATCCTTTTTTAACATTTCATGTCCTGATCTCATGGTGTCCTATTTGGAACCCATCAGCAGAACGCTAAATCGCCAGTCAATGGTAAATGATTCCGATGGTTGCATCTGAAAATCCGTCCGAGTCAAATAGATACATCTGTGAACCGGTTCATGACTAGGCCAGTCGAAGTGAAGTCTATGTAGCATCGAAGCAACGCTTTTTCGAACCTGACCTCTGTCTCTTGACTTCCCCTGTCTAGGTTTGGGCAACCTGGCAGTATCCCAGCCCTCGTGCTTCCTTTGGGTAGCATGGCAGCTAAACACCGGAAGGGTGCTACAGCTGAACGGTTTATTATTATTTTTTGAATCAACGCTTTGTGTTGGAATAAATCAGGTGGTTCTGTTGCTGCCTTTGGCCGTTGTGTACTGACTAAGCAACTCCGTGGCAGTGCGACGGCCTAGGTACCAGCATACCACTCAGGCCTAGGTTGGACTACTCATGTCAAGCTGGGTGACATCGTATGTTAGAATCTCCCGTATCCCTTGCTCGTATTTGTCACAGAAATCAATCCGAATTTTCGGCGACAGTCAGTCGTATGTATTACCGGATAGACAAGGGAGTGGGGCGACTAAAATAAAAACGGACGGCGATGCACTAAATTGTTGTTCGATCGAGCCAGATACGCTAATATTCACTGGAACTAAAACACACTTACATTAGTTATTTCGAGATTTCCCACCGCCATTCGCATGGTCGGAAGCCATTCATTACAGACTAATAAGCCCAAATCCTAGGAGTACATCCGCTTGATTCGGCAGCATTTAGTCCTTGAACATCCAGCACAGGAAGTCAGTGGACAGTCACCACGTGACACATTTCACCCAGCCGTATTGTCCATGCTGGTTCCGGTGCTTCCAGCATCTCCTTTGTCATATGCTTGGATTCTATACCCCGGACAGCCGGAAATATCCACTGATGATGTGACCTTGTAAGAATGGAATTGTAGCCCAATGTTTTCTTTTTGGTGTGGTCTAACAATAATAATTTTCAAACGAGAGTAACACCGATATCTACTCAAGAAACAGACCAACCGTGAAAACAGCTAGGCACTTTAGATGGCGATATCGAGTAAACATTCGAGTTCATCTCATTGGTCAAGATTGTGGTGCAACTTTTCTGCCAGTTTGTGAGAAGTGTTGACAGCTTCTCAATGGAAATGGTTCGTATGTGATGCGCGGCTCCATCTGTTTGGGCCTTTTGGCAACTCCACAGAACAGGTACGTAGTTATGGCGTTCGGTAGAACGTACTTGACATTAGAGAATGAATTCCCCCCTTCCTGAGACTGTCGGGATTGGTTGATAACCCGTTGTAGTGTGGCCTTCCATCCAGTCTCCCACAGGGTCATGACGAATCATTCAAGCCGTAAGTTATACCCAATAAGAAATAACGTTCACTTATATTGGTGTGAATTCCCCGAAGCTACCCGTTGGTGACCTGCTCCTCTTTTTTCAGTCACTAGAGGTAGTTTGCTCGACACCACTTCTTACTTTTTCCCGGTCAGTTGTTTTACCACATTTCCATTTCCTCTCAGGATGGTCCAGTGGAAGAGATGATAGATATGCAGTTGGAAGATCTGAACTGGCTATTAGCCCATAAATTTATAGCTTAAGCAACAAAGCAGAAAAGATACCTTCGAAACTTTTTTTATTTTTAGTTCCGCCCTAGACTGTCAGTCCCTATCGCACTACTCGGAATTCGAGACAGGATCAGAGAGTGGCCTGTCAGAATTATCGCTTGTCCATCCATACCAACCGAAGAAATTCGGGAAGCGGAGCAAGCCAGTTGCAGATCCATCTAATCGAGTGGTACATCGGGGAGCAAGGGCAACTCGGAGATACGAAAACGGTACTTACTCAGTCAACATGTGGCTTTTTTAGTGTCGTATACTACTGGGCGCTAGCTCTCTTTCTGTTTTCTTTGGGGGAGTTAGTTAGTTCCGATGTAAGGCTACATTTAGGTTAGATAGATGTCGACATGCGTTGGAGTGAGCCTTAGTTTGTAATGGGGTTTTTTGTTCTTTGCTTTAATATTTCTTGAATATATTCCAAATCAACCATAGTCTGGGGAACATCTCTGGTTACCCTGTGAACCGCACTCTAAGCCATACAGTCAACTGGGTGATTGTTTTTATGATAAACTGATTTCTGATGGTTTGTTTTCAGTCATTAATGAAGCGGACACAAATATGATGTACAAACTTTCAATTTTTCCACTGGCACGGTGCAGTTTTTGACTGCTTCACGAGGGAGAAAACCCTCTTAAGGAGTGAAAAAGAAGGAAAGGAATGGGGACTTATTGTTAAAAGCTGTCTCTAAAAAGCACCCAGGGGTGAGGCGCATAAACCGCCCAGCGCCACTGGAATAAAAACACCTGAACATCATTTTGAAGCAAGACACCATCAGCTGAACTGATCCAACATCCTTTGTGAAATTCATCCGACAAAAGCCCAGTGCACAATTTCAGACAAGCGTTAGTCAAGCATTCCGGCAAAGAAGGAACAGCTAGCTAGCTACTGAGATCGGCTGCATACCATTTCCTATAAGTTTTCTGACAATTCCTAAGGACAATCACGTTCGTGTGATACAGAAATTCGTGAAGACCTCACAGCGTATTCGTTTGAATCCAGTTTCCCATTAGCTTGCATAGCTGGCTTTTTCTGTTGTGGAGCTATCTGTGAGTGGTCATATTCGATCAGCTTAAAGTGTTGTACAGACAGACGAATGGCTAGACCTGTACATCGCTTGATTGTGACCCCATTTCTGATTCAGTGGAGTATGGTACTTTTGCTGTTTTCCCATTTCGGTACGGACTGAAGTATTATTTCCATTACAGGTTCCTCTTTAAACCACTCCAAATAGCGGAGATATCTTGAGTTTCTTCCACTCTTGCGAAGTTCGATTTTCTTTTTGTAGTGTTCTACCTTGTGAACTTCTCAGTTCTGAAAGCTAATCACCCATAATTGTTCAGGCTTTGGGAATATATGAGACAGTCATCCTGTCCAATTAGTGGAATTTCCAGATAGCTCAATGGCTAAGGCGCAGAATTACCGACCGGATGCTTCGTGGTTCGAACCTGACCCTTGCATCTGGAGCGCTCATTTCTAAGCTTGAGCAACCTGGTAGTATCTCAGCCCTCGTACTCCCTTCAAGTGGTATGGCAGCTAGGCGCCATGAGGGTGTCACACCTGGACATTATTGTTACTATAGGACGTCTATCCAAAATCCGTGGCTACCCTTCAGAGTTATTGATTATTACAACTGATGAGGTTTCCGGGTTTCCATTTTTATGTTCTATTGCTATTCTCTAGAAGGATCTGGTAGCGAATCGCGAGTGAGATTCCATCAGCCACTCGGGAACGTTGCAATTAAACTCGGAGATGTTTCAACCTACTCATGCCCGTACTTATTTTCGTCACCCAGACATTGGCTCATTTCTAGCTTGAGCAACCTGGTAGTATCTCAGCCCTCGTACTCCCTTCAAGTGGTATGGCAGCTAGGCGCCATGAGGGTGTCACACCTGGACATTATTGTTACTATAGGACGTCTATCCAAAATCCGTGGCTACCCTTCAGAGTTATTGATTATTACAACTGATGAGGTTTCCGGGTTTCCATTTTTATGTTCTATTGCTATTCTCTAGAAGGATCTGGTAGCGAATCGCGAGTGAGATTCCATCAGCCACTCGGGAACGTTGCAATTAAACTCGGAGATGTTTCAACCTACTCATGCCCGTACTTATTTTCGTCACCCAGACATTGGTTCTTAAACCTGTTTGTTTACTACTACCAATAATTGGAATGGTTTCTCATAGATTTGTGTCTTCCCTTTCGGAGTGTTGTGTATTTAGCTCATTTATACCAAGTCCATTATTGCCTCGCCAGTTAGTCCTGTTGTGTCAGCCCTTTTGTTATTTTCGATATGGTGGTCAGCATCCCGTTTTAACAATTATTTGATTCACCTTTAGAGTTTTCATGATTAAAATGTCTTGTTAACGGCTTGTGTTTGAGCCTTTTCGCCAATGTTACAAACGTCACATCGAATTGCTGAAGTAGAAGGAACGTCAGTTTCGGTTACTCTTAGTTGTGAATTATGAAACCTTGTCAAATAGCAGGTCATATTCTAAATGCATCCCTACGTGTACCTCTGATCTTCAGTTGGGTTCCCCCGAGTACAGTACGAGCAATTTTGCCCCATTTTTAATTTTGATTCGGATGGTCGTATGGTCGTGAGATGTTGAGGGGGACTCAGCGTTTCCCCGACTGTGAGGTACTGCTCACGTGTTTTTGGATCCTTTTTCCCACAATTCAGTTTTTCACCCACAAACTTTGCATATGTACGCGGTAATTCGCACCGCCAAAGAGCCAACGGTAAGGGATGGCGTTTTAGAAACGAAACAAATTGGCGGAGGCTAGAAACATATATCGTAGGATCGACCACTAGTTTCGTGATTTAATCAAGTTGACTAGGGCCTGTAAAACTGGTTGGATGAGTTTTACCTCCCTGCGGTGGTAGACGGTATACCTCAAGGTTAGTAAAAGGTTCATTTACACCTGAAGCTTGATTTCTACGTCGCGATCTGTTCATCCGTACATTTGGCCACTCCAACCCTGACAAGAAGGAGGTTCGCTTAGGTTCCTCCATAAGCTTTTGTCTTGGCTTTTACTGCATAGACTCCCAGCGCCCCAACCTTCAAGCTCAGTCTGCCTGGTTGAATGGTGGTCCAGATAACGATTGGTGGAATTATAACAAAACGCAGCATATAGACCAACCGCCTTACGACGACTAGTCCATATTAATAGTTTGTGGCCCTGTATGGTTTTCATGTGTGGAAGCTGGAAGAGTGTGAGGAGGTCCTGTTCTAGACAAATACACTCATTTGCAAATCAATTTAGTTTTCACGGAAGACTCGAGTGAATCTCCCGTTTATGTTCTTCAACTGACCATGCAGCACGCAGGCGGCCTCATGTTTCAGTTGGCACGATATTCGAGATATCGCAGTATATTTTCATAAAGGAAACTACCAACAAGGTTGCTGAAAACTCTTCGAACATCATAAACGAGAGATTCACTTGAGTCTCCTGTGAAAAACAACTTGACTTGCAACTGAGTTTATATGTCGCACTATGCACAGACCAATAGCTGAAGGTCGACCATTATTTTAGATGCGTGAAGTGCCTCAGGAAGTCATCTCCTCATCCTCTCCCTTCACATTCTATCCGGGTTCTCTACATCTGCATGATTCAAGCATCACAAGGGACTATGCTGATGGTGTCATTATTAGTACAACCTATTCTCTAACCATCGAATCAAAAGTATATCTGTGCCTTTGTTGTTGTCCGTAGTTTATCCCTCACGTTTAATCCAACCGAGCGCTTGGAGATTGTGTTTACACCTAGCCTTGTCCAACGAAAACGAAGTGCATTAACTACCTCGAGATCAAGTTGTACTCGCATCTGCTCAGGCACGATTATATAGGAACGTATTTTTAGAAGCCCTTCGATTGAGTTTCTTTTCAGGCGTTTTACTGCCTTACATGTTTTCCTTTCAGAAATCTAGCCATTATTCCTGCTGCTGCCCTAATCACACCATTGCACCCTTCACATGCGTTCTTTATGACCCAGTGAAAGTTAACTTTATCGCCATCAAGCACTGTATGGTAATGCTGTCCTTCTCCGGCAATATATCCCTTACGTATCTCCGGGACATCTTGACAGGACGAAGTGTTAAAACTTGTCCAAGTCTTGATATGGCCATTCACTACTTTTCTCTCTCATCTTGAACTGCAAAAGTGTCATCCCAAGCTCCGTTTCAGGAGCATTAGCGTAATTATGTGCACAAGAATCTCTGCGTACAAGTCTCGAATGAAGACTTCACGTTTGTCTTTTGAAAGAGAACTCGTGGACATGCTGTCGATGTGGGCCAACCTGACTTAACTCCACTACTCATTTGTATACACGTGACCGGTTTGTAAAGGTAACTTCCTTCACACCTCATTTAAATACTTGTATTCTCTGGGAGACCCATCAGAAGTTTCATCTAAGATTCGGCAGTATTGAGTAAAGTGTACTTGTCCATTCTTTTCTGGCGGCAATCGTGGGGAAGTAGAAACTAAAAGACAAATTTTGTGATCAACCAAAGCGTGTCTTATTACCCTGGCCGGAATGAAATATCAGTAAGCTTTTTGAGGGCAAAAAGTACGAACAGCTGGGCCTTATCTCCCCTTAGAAATACTAATTTATCTAAGGATTTCCAGGTGTGTGCAACGGATGACCTAACAACTGGGGTAATACAATTCATCGAGTACCCACTATTGTAGTACTTGGGCTTCAACTGCGCAAATGCAGTACCATGTAAACTGACGATCGTACGTAAATCATTATTCTCTATATCTCGTTGCATCACATACGCATACGACAGCGCCAATCACACATGTTTACGCTGCCTTTCACCGACAAGTTCACATTACGCACGACCGGCGGAGTCATACGAACACAGGACATGCAAAAGAAAAACCGCTTATTAGAGACTTCCAGCACAGACTATACACAAACTGCAGTCACGGAACGACACGGCGGTTTTGAAAACTCGCCTTCATTAACTAATCACTCAAGGTATACTGTCATCTCCTTGTTGTATGAACAGAACTAGACGACCCAATACAAAGACTTGAAATAATTGACCACCAGTGGTCGTATCGGTCGAGCAGTAGTGCAGCTATTGCGAATTTCCATTTGAGGCGGAGAAGGTCAAACTCCTCACGTTTTACTTTGGCATGATCCTTTCTGACATCAGAGATCTGAAGCATTTAGATTATATGGGATGAGTTCTTTTCCTTTAGTGGAGTTTCTGGGGCACTTTGGACATACATCGAAAACCAGCGCGGATCTAACATAGTACAGCGGTTTGCGTAGTTAAAATTACACACACCACTGAAATTGCTGAGACCTTTTTGACGCCATTCGAGTTTCTCATAATTCACTGAATACTTGGTGAAGGTCACCTGGCCCTTCAGGTTGCAGTTGAAATGTGTGTGTTGACGTGATACATTACTATTCTTGCATCCAGCTTTTTGAAGTGTCGCTCTGGCAGTTCTGTTTGCTGATCTGATGCCTTTGATTGCAAACATTTTGTCCCCGAGGCGCTAACACTATGCACACTGATGATGTCCTCCCAATTGGTTACGGAAGCGGAGCATTTGCAACGAAGGTGCCCAGCTGAAGTAAAAGGCAAGCAGTCACCTATGATCAATAACACACTCTGTTTGATGCCCTAAATGGTTCATTTAAAATATCTAGGCCCACTTACACTCATGGACTAAATGGGAGTAATACTGAAGCCTGTCTCATAGGGGTCTCCTTTTTTCGGACTCACTATCCGGCTATATATTTATTGATACTGGTCTAAGCTGCTGTCTTCTTGGCCGACTTACTCAGTGACTCAGTGCACTTCCCGTCTGTCTTCCTACTAAGAAGATTTTCTCGTCGTTTTTTGGTAACCCCTTCGCACTTTCATCTGCTGCCTTCTGCTATCGATGCTGATGCCGACTAGAACGGCGATGAAATCTCTAAGCATCTCCACATGGAATTCTTGGACTTCTGAAGAGACATGTGGCAGTGTTTATGCACGTTCAGCCTTGTACTCATAGTGGATCCTTAACATTCTGAATAGGATAAACTGATCAGATCTTTTCTCCTTGGGCCGCTTGTTTTGATTTCATTTTGTTGGTGTTTGTTCTTCTAGAGGCGTTTCTGAACACACTGTCTGCTATTGCCGAAACCGATGGAGAGGACTTGGCAGTGGTGGCCTGGCCTGATAGTATTTCTCACTGCTCCGCATTCGCCAAATTGTTCGAAGACGACAGGTAAGCATACACTACCGTTTTCCTGTAAATTTTAAGTATGATTCTGTCCTTGTGTTCAATCGAGCGCACGGGACTCAGCAGGAGAACAGTTCACACTAGTGCTGAATGCAATCGAAGAACTGGCCACACGTGCTACCACGGCCCGATTAATTGCAAGCTGACTCGATGCAGCTAGACGCTGCGGGGGCAAATATTTTGGAAAGTAGTTCGTCTGTCGTCCGATTGATTTTACAGACCCTAAAATGTGATGTACACTATGGGACAAACAAACCACAGCTAGTTTATCATGTGAAAACGTTTCACGCGATTCCGGGCCCCACCGAATGCCGTCATGCATCACCATAATACTTGCGTGGTTATTCGTGGACTTGTCTACGAAGACTCTCCAGTCAACCGTCAAGACCACAGCCCATTTGTCTTTCTTCAGACTTTGGCGACATTGGAACGTACACGTTACTGACCGTAATCTCTCTCTTTAGGTCGCAACCTGTCCAATATGTTAAGTTGCTTGTCTGCTTCCCATAAAAAATTTGATGGATCCCGTTTGATGTTATCGCTTCCTCACAACCGTAACATACCTACGAATGCTTTATCCCAAAATTGATCCTGAATGAGGTTACATTTCTTGATTAGTAGATTTGGTCACATGATGGCGCTTACTTTCATGTGTCACACTTGACGAACCGGAAGAATATTCTTCTGCTTCTGAGCATGTGACTTGGGATCACTTCATACTCGCCGCTTAGTAGCAAATGACCCACTAAAACACCGTGCTACACTGAGCCGTCCCATACGTAACAGTCACACTGCACCCGTGCACGTGCAGCCGCCGTGCTGACCGGCTTGTTTTTCGTCGTTGGAATCTGCCGCTTTCAGATGTCTCCGTCGTGAAGATTGTTTGCGGCGTACTGTCAGCTGTTCACAGAGGAACTAGCACACCACTCCGAATGTTGTCGTTCGTAGTCAATATCGGGTGTTTGTGCTTGTGGTTTAGCGGACCAGTAAGTCGACTTGTGGTGGATGTGGTTATTGGACATAACCATTCCATCGATCAGCACTTCGCCACATGTGTATAAAAACGGGCGAATGTGTGATCTCGTACACACTTGTCACTTCTGCAGATCATATCACTGGCCTCCAGTAGGTCGTTCACGTGTCGCATGATCAGTGGATTTGCGGAATTCCCACAAACACCTGGGAGGAACACTAGCTTTAGAATTGGGTGCGGCGTTTCAAAAACTGATGAATGTCATTCGCAGTCCTTTGTCGAAGGTATAAAAGTTACTCGCTATTCCTAAAGTCAAACTAAAACTTCACTTTGAGTAGCACCATGAGATTGATGAATTACACAAATACCAATAATTTCATGCCGTATATATTGTCCCATGGCCAGTATAGTTACTTCATTCATTAGGGTGAGGGATCGACAGACTACTGCTGATATCTTCCGTCTGACAAGTTCAGTCTCATCGTTCTCCAGGTTGTAGGGTTGGAACGGGCACTGCAGCTCATATCTTAAAAAGTGTGTACAACTATGGTAGTACGCCGACATTTATCCACTGTCTTGAGGTTAGGCTTTTGAGTCAAATACTTTGCTTGAGGACCCTAATCATCCTCCCACCTAGTTGTGGGCACCCTGACGGCGTCCTAGTCCGCGTGCAACATCACACCTAAAACTATTGTCATGCCTTATCGGCCATCGTGTCGTCATCAGCCTGCTACGTACAGCACAACGGGTAAGTGAAAACACGCTACTGCTCAAGCCTCCTCTCTCACAACTTCACTTATTCTCTGTTTTAAATTACCCCATCACAATGTGAATAATCTGCAGGTTCCAGTACTAGATTTGATTACTTTGTTCGTTATGCTTTGTGATCAGCTGCAATTTTTTGAGTTCTTTTTTGTGATGTTAAGCGGACCAGCTGGGATGCGCGGAATGGTAACTTGCTAAGAGAAAACATAAACGCTCCTATTGGAGGGCTATCACCATACTTACTGGTTGGGTCAAGGCCCGATTACGCCACACACTAAAGAAACCGGTCACGTGATCATTCATTTTAACTACGGAGTACTTAATAGACTATCACTATCGATCCAATGGTATTACTTGACAACAGCCCAATTGGTCTCAGTGCGTCTGTGAAATCCGGTATTATGCTGTCAAAAGCTCGTACGAAGTCTGAGTCTGCCCTTGTTTTCTGACACAAATCGTTTGACGCATTCGCTGAGCTGCCCTCTACACCACCTAATTAGAAAGGAATCGGGTGGCACCGACAACGAAGTCTCCAAGTCTCTGTGCTTGCAATATGGCGACCAATTGTAGCCTTTTATTTCATTGTTTGCATTAACCAGTAGCCATTTCAACCGTTGGTCAGACAGCGAGGTCCCGAAAACATTAATGCTGGTCATTGCCTTTATTGAAACTGAAAATATTAAAGTGAATTAAATGAAGTCTGCTGCTTGGATAACCTCGGCTTGCGTTAGCCTTCAGTTGTACACTATGGAATACCGAAAGCATTATTCAGCAGTTTTTGAATCGGATTCGATCGTGTGGCCGTGAAGCTAGGCGGTTTCGGTACTGGAGGTCGACTTGGCTAGGTCATGTTGACCGTTTCTCTGGCCAACCTGATACCGGCATACAGATCCTCTTACAGATTCCCCAATGGCTTCACTTCATTCGGTCCTCCAACTTACTTTTTGTCTGCAATTAGTAATGATTTTCATCCGACTGATTTAATGAAAAGTTAACTATCTGACACTAATTCTGTGAACCGTAGCTTAGTCCAGTGCCACTAGTCTGCTCAAAGATGTAAAGTTAACATGAGGTGACCTTTGTGCAGCACATTTAGTTGAAGAATATGATAGACGACAGACTCGGTTGAGTTTCCCTTGAATACCAAATTGGCAAGCAATTGAGTGTGCTTGGTGTGTAAAGCTATTTTACCCTTGGAAGAGGATCGGTTTACTTCCTCCTCCAGTGTTCTTCATTACATTCGCATTGTCCTCGCATTTGACAAACTTTTTTACACTTTGTCTATCATACTTCATAAAAGTAAATAACGGAGGGGCTTTTATTTTGCATACATTCCGACTGTTTAGCGCCTGCCTAATTATCCTCCATCCTTTTAAAACATCCTGCTAACAGCATTCGAGCTGTTTGGGACTTGTTTGTGAGTCTTTCGGAAACGGAGCAGGAACGCTTATTACGTTCTCTGCGTCGATCGAACACCGAGTCTGATACGAGCGACTCGGATCCGGAGGAATCTGTTTCAGATTCCGGTCATAGTCCGATTGCCAGTCAAGATGTGCTCGATCACCTGACCCGACGACGTCCACAGTCCAACACTCGTCGTCGGCGTTCGAAACGTGGCCATCACCGGAAATCCAAAAGTCAACTACCTCATTGTCCTTCTCCTACCGGAGAGCGTGACCTCGAATTATCGGATACTGTGGTATCTTCCCAAGGTCAGCAAATCTTTTCGCAAACTTGTGTTTACTTATTCAAGCTGAATAGCATACTTACTGAAGTAACACCTACAACTGGCAGTTTGAAAAATGTTCCCGTTCTTTGTGACTTGCGGTTCTGGGAGCGTGGTATACCATCATAAGATCGTTCTAAAAGTACCTCGTATGGTATACCCGATGATTTCTAAGTTTCTCAAGAACTCCCCTTACTCCAGCAGTCCGTATTACGACATCTTCAGCAGTCCATCTATCGCACACTGTCAATGGTTGGGGCGGTATGTCTGTACAGGTCTTCGATTCTTCAAACTAGTCACACGGATGAGGCTCGGGAAAAGCTGTCAACTCACATTAACTCGAGAGGCTGCGTTTCGCAGGCTGAACGCCTCTTCTGAAATATTTTTCCGCTTGGTGGGACGATCTACCTAAGACGGGCTGGTAAATCGAAAACGAGTGGAACCGGCGGTGAATGGGCCGTCCAAGGGTTTCCGTCAATCTTAACAGTGGTGTCATTTGTTGGAAGCTTTTCTGGCCTCTTGAATATCGCTCCAAATAAAAATTCGGATAGTGTATGTGCAGCACATTCAATTGAGTCCACCGTTATTGCTATCTCAATTTCTAGATTAGTTTTCATCCCCAAGGAGATATCTACAGTCTACTCCAATCGGACACGATTGGCTTTACCAGTTTCTCCATATGACAGGCGGATGATCAACTAGGGTTATTGTGCCCACATGATGAGCTCAATGAAGGGTGAAACTGGTTGTGGACTGTTGCAGGGTTTTCAACAAACTCACCATTAATATCTTCCGTCAAAAACATTACGTCTTCCTCAGTTCGACACTGCTGCCCTGGTTTGTACACAAACAGGGGTACGGTGTGTTTAACTATAACGAGCCCAAGTTTATCTTCCTGGCTTTGTCAACTTGTTTGTAATAACTTCCCGCCTTGGCGGACAGCTGATTGCTGTATATTCTCCTAATAATGAGTCCCAACCAGCGAAATCCCCAAGAGACGTATTTTCGTTTCTCCGCCTCAGTAACCGTTTGTGGTTAGCGCTTGCACCTATTTCAGAACCTAATCACTATGCACCCGTCGCTGTGCTTTGTTTTTACTGGTATGAATTTAGTTTTAACGATTGCACCTGTGTTAACCCCTCGTCAAATTTCATGATAATGACCTAATTTAAAATTTATGAAGGTTGACTACTTTTTCGAAAAGTAATCCGCATTTAAATAAGTCAAGGTGATTTCGGCCTTGAGTTATAAGATCCCAACGCTGAGCAGTACTGATCCATTCGGATGGAGATTCATGAAACTGAAGACATCCGTGGTTTGCAAATCGAATAGCTGGCCCGGCGACGTGGTAATATTTTATCTGTATTCAAATTCTCACTTTTCCGTCGTTCTCTTTCCCACGTTGAGTGGCGCACCTCCTCTCGGCATATGGTATTGTGAGCTTGATATACATGATATTGAGGCAAACCATCCATCTCACCAAATATCAGTTTTGGTCTCCGTTCGTAACCACGGTACATGATTTTCTTTCTGAAAAGTTTTGTTTGCTGCTGACTTATTTAGCAACATCTCCGATTAGCGCTCTGAGCTTTTTTGGTCGTGCATTTGCAATAGTGCCGTTATAGAATAGCCCGATAAATTCGTCAGATGGCCGAAGATTTCCAATTCCCGCATATAACATTGTTTAAGTCCTTTTCGACTACTGAACTGAAAATCGGCCTTTCAACTGTGTGTTAGGGAGCTGTGGGAGTGTGAGACGAAACAGTATAAAAACTAGGTCCTGTTTGTGGTTGATTCATTTTAGTCGTGTTGTGGGTCAGGCTCGTAGTAATCATGGTAATAGTCATTCATATATGACACCCTTTTTAGTGCCTGGCTACCATGCTGAACAAAGCCTGGGATACCGCCATGTCATCCAAACATGGACAAGAGTAGTCGAGATCACGGGGTTGGGTTCGAACCACGGACCTTCGGGTCAGTAGTTCCGCGCCCGAATCACTGAGCCATCTTAGCTTTCTCAGTTTAGCTCACTTTTGATTCGGAGTAGATTTCTGGTGCTTAGGAATACCGGTATCTTTTTCTGTTCCACCGAATGCCTGTGCCCGTCGTGTTTTACGCAGACAGATGTTGTGATCACCAATAGCACTACGTCAGGCTGTTTTATGGTTGGGCAACTCGGCATCTGGCTGCAACTGTACTATATTAATGTTATTGCCACCGTCGGCCAACGATTGCATATCGGTTATGGTCGATTCTTATTGGGTGCACTATAAATCAGGCTCCCAAAGGCCACGGCAGGCACGTTGGGTAATGCTAAGCAGTGGTGACACTAATCCGATAGATGGATGACTGCTAGTCAGGACGCGATACCATCGAATGCAATCCAAAAGCTGTACACCGGTGTGGTTGGCACTTTTATTTTGTTACGTAGAGTACGCACATGACTGCTTATAAAAAACGGTGTACCTTCTGTTGTGACGTTTACTTAAATTGACTACTACAACCGCTCATCATACCTGTGTATGTCTTACAGTTTGTGAATACATTGGACCTCGTCCATCAATCACTTGTGTTAGTCAGGTCAAATTTTTGCGTCCTCTGGTTGCAGGTTAGGTTTAGCGTCCTAGGGTACATGCTTGCATCAGCTGTGTTGCATTGGTTGGTGCCTGTCTTTACGAGGACAATTACAACCAAACAGTTTGTACAATCAGCCGTCTTGATGGCTTATCCACGGTGCAGGTTGTTTTTGCATGAGGATAATGCTTCGGAAAGTACTTGTTTTTCAAAATACCTTTTGCTCTGGGATCTGTCATATCACATTCGTTCTTTTATTGGCAAATCTAATGTATGAAGACAGGAATGGTACTGGCGCCTTTCGAGTGCCAGTTTTAGACAGTTTTGTTCGTCAATCCCTTCTGCTTGTATTACCACTAGTGTTTTTAATCTGTTCTAGAGAATAATACCGTCCCTACAATAAAAGGCGCAAATCCGTTCCGTGCACCAGGTTTCCCTTCGCATGGCTTCAGCAGTATGGTGTTTCCGTAAAATCAATAAAATGTCTCTACTTATCCTCATTGAGTAGTTTAACAATGATCTAGTTTTCATTAGACTGCCTACACGCGGACTTCTGCGTTCGGTACCTTCCTTTTAATCAGAAGCGTCGTTTGGGGTCAATAAAATGGCTTCTTATCCCAAATTACTCATAAAAGATATTGCTGGGCAAAATGGAAACGACAGGCGGGTAAGTTTGTGAGAGCCTTATTTTCTGTTCAGCTTGTCTCAACAAGCGTGTTTAATGCCTGTATTCTGCAAAAATGTATCATAATAATACGCGGTTAACTCTGATTTCCTTTAAGTGGTGGTTGTGTCACAGAATATCGGGGGCGCATCATTTGTTCAAGTATACCTTAGTGTGCACTCCCAAGTGCAAAGTACCAGTGTGCTTCGAAAATACTCTCGTTTGCACAGGAATTCGGTTCTGGCAAGAGAACTGAATCCAGCTCAGTCTCGTGTGTGGTGGTCCGCTTCAACTGAATGTGCTGCTGATGAGTAGTGTGTTGCGTCTACACAACCGCCCATGTGCTTCTATCAGTTCTGGATGTTCGTAAGAATCGATAAACGTTTGCAAACTCTCCCCATTCCCTAAATTTCCAACAAGGTGTGAGGCGAAATCAATACTCTGGTCTGATAATCCGGCACATGACGAACTCAGTGTTATGCCTGGTGGTCGTCGTGATCACCATATAAAGCTCGTTGCATGCGTTCAGTAATATAGTGGGCAGCTTTGAGCTACACGAAATCCCAAAAGTTGAACTGTTCACCTGGAGGTTTATCAACAAATTCCGTTTAATGATTGCAACAGTAAAGTAATACGAATGGTACAACTCTCAAGTCCTAGAGCTATACCAGATTATCTACATCTGGTTGAGTAACACTGACTCCAAAGTGGGTTCTGGACAGCTAGGTGCTAAACGACACATCCACTCAAATTTCACACCGAATCAAGTCACATGGTTCACAAGATGACAAAGCCTACCTAGTTGAATTGTTCCAGACGTACAATCTTAAGACCAAAGTATGGGTATTGGGTTGGTGAAAGTAGACTAATGACAACGTTCAGGTTGGAAAGAGAAGGACGGATACAGGCGTAAAACGGAAAAACGAGAAATCACGTTTTGCACAATAAGAAAGAAATCAACAAAATTCGCCTTTCAGATCTTTGTGGGATAGCCGGCTTCATTGCTCATTTCATGTTTGGGAGGACCCTGACGAACTACACTTAGATTACCCTTTCGAACTGACAGTTTTCATTAGTCAGTCCAGCATTTTGAACATTCTGCTGTTTACAGAGCATCGGGTCTCGTACATTCTGTTCAATATAAGCTATCATTTGAATGATATTTAGACTAAACCCTCCGGAGGAACTGATCCAATCTTACTACTTGTGTGGCCAGTGGCGATGATGAGATTGCTGCAAGCTTGCAGATGGTTCACTTCTTCTAGGCCTGAAAACATATCCACTCTAGCGAAATACACTCGTTTGCATACCAATCTAATTTTGACGGGAGACTTACGTGTAACCCGGCTGAATTCTTCATTCCAGTTAAATTTGAATCGCCTGTTCGCATCAGTGTAATGTGTAAATGAGTGACATATCAACGTTGGCAACTGACCACCTAATAATATGTGAAATAGGGATAGGACCGTTACCAACTAAAGTGTCGCATCATGGGCGTGCTTTGTTCACGCAAACCGGGAGCGTAGCATGTCCCTTGGACACACGCGTTGCCTGCACCTTGTGAGGGATACCATTTTCTCCAGCTGAAGCTAATGTGCAAGGTCATACACATCCGGCCAAACAGTAAGACTCCTGAATGCACACAACGAAGGGGTCAAGCGACTTCGTCGTTCCTTCTGGTGGCCATCAGTCAGATCACATTACATTCGCAAGAAGAGCACACCAACTACTGTAAGCTATGCTTTAATCACACACCAATGGGTTCTCGAGTAGATGAGGACTCGACCTGACCGATACTTAGATCGTTTCAAATTGTGCCGTGAGCGCAAGGATGTTTAGAGCACAGCCCGTTTTCATGAGACAAAGTTTATAGTTTCGTGCAGATTCTTGTCCACCTTCTCTGTTGGGTGCCTAGAGAATATTGTTTGCAAAGTGCAAAAGATTGATCGCGAACCTATTTTGTCTTCACGGCCCACTTTCAATCGTCGACGACTTTTTGTCTGCTTTGGGTAGAGTTCTAACGAATGGAACTAGATCTTTTGCGTTTGACAACATTATTGCAACCAATATCATTTGCAGTTCATGTTTGCATTTGGTGGTATGTTCTGTTGTAGCTGTCATGCGCACATGTGTTCTCTTGTACCAAGATGTCCAACTTATTCTGCGGACGCCACGATTGTTGGGCTAGGCTCGATGACATCTTTTTGTGTGAATTTGCGCCTGTCTTCAACTGACTCCTGTTTTGATATAGTTCAATCAATAAGGTGTTAGATACTTGTTATTGGTGTGGACCATTTACGGGACAAAGGCATGTTGCACCAAAATAACTTTATACCGGTTTAGATTATTGATTTTACCTGCCACTACTGTGATGCAACAATCCGCTAAGGTAGGTCTTTTATGCTTGTCCGCTAAAAATAATGTGAAGCGAGTTTGAGTTTCATCTCAACATAGTAATCAGTGTAAAATTTTATGGACTCTGTGAAGGAACAAGTGTACGCGGTTGTTGGAAAGTGAATTATTTCTTTGTGTAGTACCATGCCGGGCAGCTTCTAATCTAATGTAATGAAATCTTTTTTTACCAATATGATCGTGGAAAGTATGGATGGCTTCACATAGTAGATTGTATGATTTGGCGTACAGTTTTGAGCGTTTGTTTTTCTAATGTGGTTGTTATCCATGGTCTTTGTTTTTTTGTCAGAATCTGGAGGACACTCGAAATCCGCAGAAGCTCAATCTGAACTTCGAGGCTTTCTCCCGCCGCGATTTCTCGCCCTTATATCCAGGTCCCACACGTCTGATGGTAGACGGCTTAGAAGGGTAAAACGTCTTGTCACCCCTCTGGATTTTTGTCTGATTGACCGTGTGGAGACGGAACTGCGACGATGGTTCACCATTACACCAGATGATGGGGATAATATCGCTTCCTGGATTGATCAGAAACGATGGACTCCAACAGTCTCTCTCCTGGGTGAGGTAGATCTTCGACGCTGGATGCTTGAAAACGAGTCTTTTCCTGATTTGCTTCAGTTAGATGCATTTGAACGACTCGTTGTGCACTCTGTGGCAAGTTACTTAGGGCTCGGATCCTACAGTGAGTTGCTTCTTTCCGGAAGATTTAAAAAAAAACAATGTTCTGGTGCTGTATATCAACACTATTGTTTTAACTTCTGATCAGTCACCTAATTGAAGTCGTCAAATTTTGTCATCGATCGTTGCGCCTTTTCTTCATTGAAGATGACCCGACATTACTCCCGATTGATGATCTTTGATGTTTCAACAGGGGTTTGAAATGCTTCCCCCCAATTTCGTTTCGGCTACCTGCCTGAGGAAAGTTTATTTATCAGGAGGGAATGGCATCTGATCAACGCAGAAGGCGTAGCCGTAGTAACTAGCATACAACATGCCGTATGAAAAAGCATCAAAGGATGTACTGATACGTAGTGTAGAACAGTGAGGTAGATTCAGTTTTATTAGGATTGATACACACATCTGTATCTAGTCAAGTATTCTGTTCCTCTCCCCCTGTCCTTCACCAGGTAACTGGTCCGAGACCTTGCGAGATCGCCAACTGTGGGTAGAAAAGCGATTTGGTCACACGTTCGCCCCACCGAACCGTACTTTGGTCAACCTGCTCAAGGCGCATTTTTCCCAACCGTAGTAGTAAACTGGCGTTTATCATGCTAGTATTACCACTGAAATTTGACCTTTTCATCGAAGGTGGTGTTCATTCGTTTCCCCATGTCTATCGTTAGCTCTTGTTGAAGCAAGTTATTTTTTGTCTTTAATTGTTCTATTTCGTATTTCTAGCTCTCTGGTTTTCATTTCGTTTCCCTACAACTGACCCCTTGTTTCCAAGTGCAACTTACATAGTTAGATGTGGTTCCCGGGTGACCGGAGAATTTAATGCTTTATGAGGCGCGTATTGTTCTCGTAGCGACCACAAATTGTACTGTTTCTCGCCAGGCGGGGATGTCCTAACGCTTTTCTGTTTTGGATTATTTTGTTTATCCATCAGAATGTGCCGATTGTTTTGTTCTTTCAACCAACAATCGTCAACTTAATATAGTGATCTAAGTTATCAAGTGCTATGGTAGATGCGTTAACCTTGTGGAGGGGTTCGTTGAAGGCACGTCGGTCGAACAACGCCATACCTCTTTACCACGAGGTGTTCTAAGTATTTTGAGGCGATTTCTCGGTACTGTTGTGCTTGGTGGTGGTTCAACGTGGTTCTTCACAGTAGCCAACACTTAAGCATTATTCGAAAATTTGTTACTCCTCTTTCCCTTGTTAGAACAAATTGGGGATGATATTAGATCTATCGCCGGTTGCTCGTGAATTTCTGTTGGTTGCCTTACTCCGGAGCATGTAGGTGATGCAGTTGAGGATGTGTTGGCTTCGCTTCTAGTTGGAGTGATGTGTTTGAGAAAATCGGTGGGACAATTAGGGAACTGTACGTGAAACCCTCCGAAATGAAGCGAAGCAACATTTCAGTCCTCTACGTTTATGAATGGCACCACAGCGTCAGCCGTGCAGTCCACTGGTAAATTTCATTTCCTATCGAATTACTTACTTCTTGGACGTCGAATCTGAGCCAAAGTAAGCTCTCTATAAAGTGGTTACACGTTTGCTGTGGACAAACTTACGTGTTTAGTTATATATATTGTGCTACCAGTGTGGACGGAACAAGATGTTTGTCAAAACTGGCGGTATGGAAAGCATCACAACTCGTGAGTGAAATTTCTGTACAGTCTGCTTTGAATCGCTCGTCGCACCGAGGATTCAGCTGGACAGAACATTTTGAATACTATAAACTATCGGATTGTAATTCTGACTTACGAGCAAATACGCTTGCAGCAAAGCGAATTCAATTGGATCGAGTGCGTATTGTTTCACCGATAGAAGTACAAACCACTGACTAGGTTCCTCAAAATTGCCTCAGTTTATAACAGACCCAAACAATGGAGTGGTGATACACTACAACTCTTTGTTTGTCGGCTTATTAATTGCATATCAAATCCGGACCCCGAATTTCCTGTAGCTACAGCAGTCGAATTGCACGATTTGTTCTTTCCCATTTCCCCTATTAATCAAATTCCAGCTCGAGACGGCTCAGTAGTTGTGGCGCAAAATTACTAAACGGAAGACTGCTGTTTCGAACCTACCCGCTGGGTTTCAACCGGTGCTGTCTACGCTTGGGTTCCCTCGCAGTGTCTCAGACTTCGTGTTTCCTTCGGGTGCCATGGTAGCTAGCACATAAACTTAGGGCACTTTCGCTAGCACGGAGCTTCCAGACATCAGGTCGCGCTTGTGCTAGTCTAGCTCCCAGCTGCCAAGCTGAGGCTTCGTGATTTAACTAGTACTTCTAAACGGTTGCCTCTGTGTGGTTCTTCTGTTCAGTTTCATGAGGGTTTGCACCAACATAGCAACCGTTAGCGTAAAGTTTCCGCTTACAGATCAACCAAGTGTGGCTCCGATTTGGTGAAGGACATTCCTAACGGGTAAATTACCATCCTGCTATCGACCACGAAGAGTTCTGACATAATCCTACTCGGAATTTTCAGTACACATATAGTGCGTCTCAGCCCGTTGAAAGCGCTACTCAACAATATGTAGGACGTCATCATTAAACCAGGCTTAGTATTGGTTAGTATCGTTTACAGCCAGAAGACAGGACTGTCCACTTCATACAGGCCTGTACAGGAACACTCCGTGATCTAGCCAGCTCACTAAATTTCACAGCTTTGTGGATATGAGGTGCGAAAGACATCCTTAAAATGTCTCCCCTACTCAGCCGGTAGGATTTGCAAAGATGACAAATTAGATGCTGAACTACAGGTTATCCAGACAACCTGGATAGGGAGGCATTTGAAACAACAGCCAGTAGTACAAACGATGGGGGCCCAATGACATTAGATTTATTTCAATTAATCAAGAGTACTTACTGATTTGTCGAAAAACTGGATTAGCCAAACAGGTGATAAGTGCTTTTGCCACTGGTCAGCTCTATGCAGACCACCGAATCAAATCGGCCGAGTCATTCAGTATAATTGATCGAACACCAAAAAGTCGGTTAAAGGTCATTCGCCAATGCATGCTCGAAACAGTTCTAACATTGTCTCGGCTCACCGATCAAACTTCCCCACCACTAAGTAGATAGTATGGTTTATTGTCAATACCATGACAACACTAATATATTGACCTGGTCTCCTATTTTATCGCCGTACTTGCCCGATGAGACGTGGTTGAAACAGATCGCCCACTAATATTATTGGTTGTTGCTCCGTAACACTGGGCTCGGACAGAATGCATGGCGCTATGCTATCTTAACAGTGGAACCAAATTGCTCAGGTGGCCGCTAACTACCATTGGCGAACCTGTCTGCCCAACCGCCCATCATTCTGCAGTACACATCGCGCCCTCGTCCGGTGTAGGATTTTACTGAATGTTCAGAGGGAAACCCCCCGATTATGATTATCCCACTGTATCTAATGTACCTATCACTATTTTGAAGGAGTTTGCTTTTCCGATTACCAAGAACATCAAATTTTTCTTCCAAGGTACCATTTAAAAGCGAATCAGTACCTTGGGCGTTTGCCGTTATGGGCAGTCCTCTGGAATCGAACTTGTCACATTTGTGTAGCAGATTTGTAGCAATCTACAGAGACTGATATTTAACTCTTCTTATCTAGACGATATTTTTCTCATAACAAAAGACAGAAAACAAGTTGAACATTGCTCTGCTTTTACCACATCACCGAAACAGCTTTTACTTGAACTTTGGAGTGTGAAACAAACTTCTTTTTCTGAATTTTCGGTCCAAGACTGCCGTGGTTTTAGTGATTAGTCATATTGCATAGAACAACAGCACTATCCTTGTACTATGTTTCTTTTCTTCTGTCTTACATTGCGGACGAGATCGGATACATTGAATTCACTCCGCAATAATGTACTTACTGCCTTATCCCAACTCTCCCGATAATCACCTCTGTCAAGTTGACAAAATACTGATTCATGAGGTTTTCGATACAGAACTTTGAGTCACGCGTAGGCTTGACGATCCCGAATATCAAAAGGAGGAATTGGGTTCGAAAGTCTACGGTACTGTTGGAACGGAGATAAGCCAATTTACACAACGAACCTCAATTCTCCACGTTCGTGGCGTTAACCAATGCACAAGTCTGTCATTGACCGGTACAGTTCAGTGTCAAGGTCCACAAACCAAAACGACGAGCGCAATGTTAAGCCGCTAGTGTGTGTTGCGGTCGTCCTTTCCGAGGGCAGTCTCGCGATTCTGATTGGTGGTGTGGCTACCCAGAAATGATGAGAGAACTTGTCAGGACAGGCTCGTTTTAAAATTTAATTATTAATGGTTCAGCTGTAACATCTTCTGGTGCCTAGCTGCCATACCACCTGGAGGAAGCACGAGGGCTGGGATACTGCCAGGTCGCCCAAGCCTAGACAGGGCAGGCTCAGCAAACGGGGGAAGAACATACATGGAGAAGAGGTTCAGCTGTGCACATTCACACAGGCATCCTAATATACTAGCGTCGGACGGGGCGGTCTTTGCGAACAAGCAAATGAATTGGGGAATAATCATGAGGTCAAGTTAGATTCAGTAGTCATGTTCATCGAATGTCGTTCAACCTAGTCAGCAGCGCCTGTTGTGCACTTCGGTACAAGGTTTATGAAGTGAACTGAACTATACTCGGGTCATCTCGCAATAATTTAGGCTACCCTTTTAGGACCTTCCCACGTAGTTTTGATTGAGACTTTTCCAAGCTTGGTTGGGCCAAATTTACCATTGACTTCAGACAAGCTTTCGACCAGCAACAGGGACGGTGAAGTGTGGTGGTTTATCTGATGTCAGGCTAAGCGTCTTATAGGTTACTATAGGTTGATTCCTTGGGCGGGATGACTCCTGCCTCCGACAATTACCGGTTCAAAGTTGTGCTGCAAAGCGCGCCCTTGCTTTGGTTCAACAGGAAGGTTAAAGATCGTTGGTTTGTTCGTTGAAGTGGGTAATTTGATTGCAAACGTTTCATTACCAATCGAGATGACATAATCAGTGAGTTGTTATGGTGGTTGTACACAATCAGTGACCGGTCACTACGATTCCTAACAGCGCACTAATGATGTCACCTCGATTGGTGATGAAACGGTTACAATCGAATTGCCCCTAAACCGAGCGAAAAACCTCTGCACGTGATGGAAAGTTATAGTTTCTGCCACTGTTATCACTTCGTTAGTGTTTTACGAATGTAATTCAGAGGTAGAATATATGGCCCGGTAGACTCATTTTGGAAGGAATATCAGTGGCTGAGATACAAGTAAACAAATTGGATTGATAATTCATTTGTAAACGAAAATAGTCCTAAGGCGAGACTTGACTGGGTCTCTTGGTTACGGCATTCTCAGGCGAAACATGTTGAGTATAGGCAGTTGTAAGTACCATTTAGGCCGATGTTCAGGATACCAGAATGTTTCCCTTGATATGTCGCTACTTATAACCGCGAGCTGTCTAGGTTTTCCCGAGAAAATCGATCACCATTCAGACAAGCCGGTCAGTTGTTTCGAACAATTGGACAACTCACCAGAACAAGATTTAAACCTAAGTGATTGAGCCTAATTGCTGAAAACTAGCGAAAAGTGACCAATTCTAAAACTAACTTCGAATATATGACACTGAAAAATTATTGTTTTTTATCGTATACGAAAACAGAAATATACAGGCACCACGTCTACCACCCGATGTGTTTTACGTTAGTAAGATTAATTGGCCACAGATGGCGACACACCAGCTCTTCTTGCTATTCATGATAATCTCTGCCTTCGCCGAGTGCTGAGATTCAACATTTGAGTTAAAATGTTATGGTTATGTTATGAAACCCCTATGGTGTCACATTGTGTGGAAACCATGTGAAACTCCAACCATATGGACGGTGGAAGTGAACTGGGCTAATGTGTGCAAGCTGTTGCGCGCATAACTCCAAGACAAGAGCATTCAATAAACCGAAAACTAAAGCTCCAGTCATTTTTGAGGATATTTCATATTCAGAGGCTGTTCTTTGAAAATTTGTGAAATTAGCGATTTCCTGAAGAAATCACACTTTG